TACAGAAGTAGGATTGCCCAACCTTCCTTCCGAGGAGTGGCTGGTGGGTTTGAACCGTCAGCCATCTGGTTAGCAGGCAAGTGTGTTAGCCACTATGCTACCAGAGGTCCCATTGGGAAGTAATGGAGGGTTTTCATATAGCGTGGTAACATTATGTGACTTATCTTTTAAAAGGTTATTTTGATCAGAGACTCTAGGGACAGAAGTGTAAGCTGGGAGACCAAAAGACGATTATTGCAGAGGTTCAGGCAAGAGGTGGTGGTGATGTAAGCTCGTGGTGGCGGAGGAAGTGTTGAGCAGTGGAGTAGAGGTCTGTTGAGGTGGAGCAGACGTTTGGAAGATGGCTGTGAGGGTTCAGTGAGCTCACGCACGCGAACATAGGACAACGCCTGGTACGTGGTGAGTGAACTCACCAGACTTGCTGTCACCGTCACCGTCACCAGCCTCAGCAATATCCTTGTCATCACTGCTGCTCCAGCGACCAGGGTGACTTTAATATTTTGTGCAAGAAAGACATGCCTAAGTCAGAATTAAAGTGTTCTTTTCATTAGTGATTACAGAGGGAGCTTAGTTACTCTGTTATGGAATTGACTGTGTTGGTAGTGCGCGCGCGCATGTGTGTGTTTGTGTGTGTGTGTGTATATATATATATCTATCTCCGTATTTAACTTGTAGATTTTTCAGTTATTTTGAATTTCCAGTTCGCTCTGCTGTAACCATTGATTTGGGTTTGGCATTCATTTGAGATCCACTCAGAGGATCCACTGGAGTTTTTGCCTTCATTTTTGCTACTATTGAAGAATATAGGTCTCTAGTTAAGATGTATCGCATCTCAAGGTTTGTCATCATTTCATTATATTGTGTGCATAGAATAAAAAGTCAAGTGAAAAAACATTTGCTCAGTTTTTCCAACATTGGAGAAAGTTACAAATCCTTTTCAATTTTTCTTTTGTTTACAGAGAAGTGTCAGTAGACGGAAGTCAATCCTTGTTATTCCTAGCTAGCATGGTACTATTTTTCTAATATTTGGCTTAATTTCTGCTCCTCTTTGCTTCCAGGTACCATTCACTGTATTTTCCATGCCACTGGGCACCACTACACTTGGAAAAAAGTTACCACGACAGTGCACAACATTATCGTTGGCAAGCTTTGGATAGATCAGGTGAGTAAAAGTGCCCACAGTACTTCTGGGGGTTAGAAGAATACCTCCTTAGGTACGTCCTTGCAGTAGAGGCACTCCCCAGGCTATGAACGAGATTTGCTCCCAAGTGTGTCTTTAAGAATTTGTAGGTAAATTGGAACAAGTTGCATATAGTTCTTAGTTAGCCTTACTTTAGTGCAAGAAAACTTCCATTGACTTAAAAACCGAATGTGCAGCAAGTGAAAGTGATTGTGATGAAGAATCTGTTGTGAGTAGGGAATTGGTTCATTAATTTCAAAGTGAGGGCAGATTTACATAACATCAAAAGGCAAGTAGGTGTGAGCTATGCATAAATCAGATGTTCACAGTCAGGGCCCTGTTTGTACTAGGAAATGTGAAATGGGCCCCAGAAATAGCACAGTAGTGCCGTATTGTTGGCATTTATAAATGACCAAATGAGGACATTGATTCAATGACTATAGGACTGTGTTGGGTACTGTGGAGGAGCTAAGAAAATGATAAACATGTTCTCCCATTCTTCATCCTTTCATTATCCGTAGACATTGATCACCAAGCTAGCGTAAGAGATGGCCTCAGACATGTCTTACTCGTTGCTGATTTCTTAAGACAATGGCAGTAGGGAAAACTGTTCTGAGGAGTCGGGAAAGGCTTCACAGTAGATGGGGGAATCGAGCTGTTGAAGAGGGGCTTGAGGTTTGAATGATGAGAGGGAGGGAAAGTGAGTAATGTGTAGAAAGGCCTGCACTGTGGAACCTTGGCGTTCTAAGTGGAGGGCTCGCACTTAATCACAGGTTCATGGAGGGCACCGGCAGTGGAGTGGTTTGGAAAAGTGATGTATTACGTGAATTTCAGTATATGTGCTAGTAGCAGGGCTTCGAACCAGTTTATTCTGGTTCAACTCCCTGCTAAGGATTTTCATTTCCACCCCAGATCTGCTGAATCCAGAAACCTAAACTAACTGCCATCGAGTTGATGCTGACTCATAGTGACCCTATAGAGCAGGGTGGAACTGCCCCACAGGGTGTCCAAGGCTGTAAATCTTTACGGAAGCAGACTGCCTCATCCTTCTCCCATGGAGCAGCTGTGGGTTTGAACCCCTCACCTTTTAGTTAGCAGCCAGGTGTCTTAACCAGTGCACCACCTGAGCTTTTATTTTTTCCTTTTTTTTTTTTACACTACTAGTGCTGGTTATCCACTGAATCAGAATCTACATTTTAACAAACTCCCCGGGATTCGGGATTCGTATGCACAGAATCACCTGGGGATCTTGTTACAATGTAGGTTCTGAGTCAGTGGGTCTGGGGTGGAAATGCCCGTTTTTGGCAGGGGGTTGAAGCAGTAGGTTTGAAGCCCTGGCTGAAGGTCATACTTCAACTGTGGCACACAATTAAAAACAAAGGTCATTTGATCTTGATCCCAACCTGTAATAATTAGTTACAAAGGGATTCCACGTTGCCAGCGTTGGCTGAGACCTGGCTCTCAAGGCGAGGGAGCCCTGGAGCGGAAGAAAGCGAGGAAAGAATTTGGAGGGTGTTTGGTCGACGTGAAGTTGTCCAGCTTCAGTAAAATGATTATTGTCATTTCAGTCTGGAGAGATTGACATCGTGAATCACAAGACAGGAGACAAGTGCAATCTTAAGTTTGTTCCCTACAGCTACTTCTCTCGGGATGTAGCAAGAAAGGTAAGGGAAGTAAGAATTTAAAGTTTTTTCACTTAACGTGTATCCCTTAGAAAACCTCTTCCTTTGGGGCTGGGATTGTGATACATTTATCATGTATTTTAGGAGATACGTGTGTGTGTGTGTGTGTGTATAAACCCACTGCCATCGAGTCAGATCCGACTCATAATAACGCCTTTCCCCCATTGGGTTTCTGAGGCAGTAAATATTTGCAGAAGGAGATTGCCTGTCTTCCGCAGAGTGGCTGGTGGGTTTGAACCACCTGTCTTCTGGTTAGCAGTCAAATGCCTTAGATACTATGCCACCAGAGCCCGTCATATATATATATTTTATATACTTTAGGGTGTGTGTGTGTGTGTGTATATATTTATATAGGTATGTGTATGTATATATCTTCAACATGGTGATTGAAAAAAGTAGGTATGAAAGAGAAAGTCTGCAAGAACAGGAACTCTAGGAATCACATCCTTTAACCAAATCCTTGTTTGTGGTGAAGACGGCACGTGAGGAGGTAGAAGTTAGGAGCCGTGAGTGAAATGGGAAACCCAGCGGGATGACTGGTGAGGGGTGGCAGGGAAGGTGCAGGCAGCGCGAAGGGAGTCGGGAGCTGAATCTGTGTGCTTCTCGGGAGTCTGGAGAGAAACAGTGCCGAGTACCAGAGACTTGGCTGCATGGTTGCAGTAGAAATCCCTGTATAACACGGTGACCATGAAACCCCCATCCCGTGGCTCAGTGATTTCAAGCAATTCAACGAGAAATTACAACATAATGATTGAATGGTCCCACGATGTGTGTCTTGGTTGGAGTTCACTAGTCTTCACCCTGGGACTGGCTTCTGGGATCATCTGGTAAGCTAACCCACGGTGAATGCTGGTCCTTCAAAGCCCTGCTCTCCATCCTTGTAGGTGACAGGGGAAGTGACAGATCCAGCAGGAAAAGTTCACTTTGCCCTTCTGGGGACATGGGATGAGAAAATGGATTGTTTCAAAGTTCAGCCCGTCATTGGGGACAACGGGGGTGATGCTCGCCAGAGGGGCCACGAAGCGGAGGACAGCAGGGTCATGCTGTGGAAAAGGAACCCTTTACCGTGAGTACCACTGGGCGCGCTGCCCACGCGCTGCTTCAGCCTTACCCGCGGGCAGGAGTGACGGCATTTCTGCCTTCCTTGCCACTTAATTATGTGAGGGATTGAGCAAGGAAAATCGGAACCTTTGGAGAAATTACCAGAGTGTTGTGACTGTCATTTCAGTTTCAGCGTGCCATCTCAGGAAAGTGCAAACCCGTCAAACCACATCTAGCAAACACTCTAAAGGTCCTTAGGAACGCGTTTGCAGGAGGTTTTTCCCCAGCTTGGACCCAACGTCTTCAGAGGTGGCTAGAGGAGAAAGGTGCCTATGCCTGTTAACAGTTTCCCTCAGAGGCCTGGCGGCAATAGAGAGGGCCCTGGACAACATGAGGACTTTGGAGACAGTTTACATCAGAGGCCGTTTGTCTCCTGTTACCGTCTAATGCCGTTCACTCCGTAGTAATAGCTGAGGTTATGCCAGAAGGACGCTGAAGGGAAGGAATCCAGGGATAAGGAGTTTTCATGGCACACGGTGTGTCATGCTTCCCCACGAAGGTAGAGGGTCTCAGCTGAGTGTGTGACGCCCAGGAGACCGTCAGGGATGTTGGGGAGGGGGCACCAGACATGCTCCCAGATTCTCTCTGTTTGTTGGGCGGCCTTGGTGGTGCAGTCTCCTGGCCATGCTCTTAGTTGTCGCTCCTTGACTCGGGCCTGGGCTCCGGCATCACCCTTCCTCTTCTTCACCCTCACTTTCAGGAAGAATGCCGAGAACATGTACTACTTCTCGGAGCTCGCTCTGACTCTCAATGCCTGGGAGAGCGGCACTGCCCCCACAGACAGCCGGCTGCGGCCTGACCAGAGACTGATGGAAAACGGGCGCTGGGATGAAGCAAATGCTGAGAAGCAGCGCCTGGAGGAGAAGCAGAGACTCTCCAGGAAGAAGAGAGAAGCCGAAGCCATGAAAGCCACGGAGGACGGTACGCGTCTGCCTTCTACACGGGGTCTGGTGCGTGGAGAACGTCAGCGTGCCATCAGCCCTGATTGTGTTTTCTTTCCTCCTCTCTTCCAGGCACCCCCTATGATCCCTATAAGGCACTGTGGTTTGAACGGAAGAAGGATCCTGTTACCAAGGAGTTAACCCATATTTATAGGGGAGGATATTGGGAGTGTAAGGAGAAACAGGACTGGATCACGTGCCCGGACATTTTCTGAGGCGGCACAAGCACATCGAAGGAGGATCCAAAGGAGCAGAGGACGGATGTGCAGGGAAGCTGGCAGTTGTGACTCTTCCCGAGTGCTTTCCTCAAGTTTGTCTGTCTTAACCAATCATTTTTTTCCAAATCAATCACCAGAAGCAGACGCCAGTGGTGGTGATTGGCTGGTTGCCTTAGCTGATTGAAACTGCAATCGACATTGTAGATACTGATGCGTGTGAGGGAGAGGCTCAGCGGCTGACAGTTGGTGTTACTTCCCGTCCGCAGAGTCAGGGACTCTTGGCTCTTCCCTGTCCTTCCGCCCCCGTTTAAGAGGATGCCACCCACCCTGCCCGTGCAGTATCCTGTGCAGCCAAAATCTACATAAGGTGACGATTCAGGGGCATTTTGGTGCTGTTCAGAGCAAGAGCTGATCTTAGAAGTTCCTCTAAAAAGAAACACGTGAGACTCACCAGCGGCGGCCTCGTGCACGGGGGCGGTGGAGCTGAGCTGTGACGGGAAATGGGTTCGCAGATGGCGCAGGTGACGGGGAGTCTGTGCAGAGAGAGGTGCGGCCTCGGGGTCCCTGCCACAGGCATCTTCCTGCAGGACCGGAGCGTGCAGGGTTGCACCCTTGGAAGTTTCTGTCTACACTTGCGTAAAACACCCTTCCGCACTCCGTCTTCTTCGACAGCAGCTGGAGGGTGGTTGGGGGGAGGGGAGCGTTACCCTCCTGAAGGGCCTTTCTACAGTTCCTCGGGCGGAGAACTGAGAACACGGGGCAGGATGGATGAAGACCGCTGCCACTTCCGCTTTCCCACTTCCTCTTCACCCCTCCTCCCTTGCTTCCCCACCTTCTCTCCTTCCTCCTGGCGCGCTGCCGCACCGGGCCCCAGCGTGGAGCAGAACCATGCCTGCCCCGTTCTGACAAGCTTCCGAATCTGAGAGAAGGCATTAATCTGGAATAAAAGTTTGCACCATCTCTCAAGCCCTGGACTGGAGCCGCCCCTGGAATGATGTGTTAAATAGCTGTATATTATATGTATATGTAGAGAAAAATCTAATTTTTTTTGTTTGATTCCCATTAAGAACCTTGTTTTTTGGTATCACTTGTCTCCCTGGGAGTCCGTGTTGGACACGCATTAACGTGGATCAGAGCTCCCCTGCAGTCCACCTTTTGGAGGCAGACAGATTCAGCCTGAGCGGGATCACAGCTGGCAGTGCGGGGACAGGGACATTGTCTGTGGTTTGTATCACGAGGGTCCACTGCTGTCTGAACTCCACTCTCGTAATGGCTGGACCCGGGAATGAACTCCTTACCTCTTTCCTGTCTCCTTTCCTTCTTTTGTTAGGGAGTGTGTGGGTGCGAGTTCAGGGACACTTCCGGTTCAGCACCGCTGGCCCAAAGCACAGCCCGCAGGATGACCCCTGGAGCCCTTGCCGGGTTGCCCCATCCTGCTGCTGGGCCCCGAGTCCCTCCGTTGCTTGTTCTCTGTCTCAGTTGTCTTTTTCAGTCCCTGTGCCACCCCCTTTGGTTGAGGATTACAAACCGAGGTGCCTGTCTTTTGTGGATTTTGTTAGTGGGTTTTGTTTCTGTTCCTTTAGCTCCTAAGCCTCAGCCAGTGTGGGTCCTGGGGGGAAATACCATTCCACAGGAAGCCATCCCTCCAGGGAAATTAGATTGAACCCGGGACACTAGTCCTCTCCTTCCGCACCATCCTTCCCTCCCTCCCTAGCTGTGAGAAACCTGAGAGAGGGGCAGGTGCTGGAAAGAGCCTCCACAGAGCCCTGTTCCTAACACGAGTGAGTGCTCCTTTCCAGGAGGCCCGGGAAAGCGGCCATCAGGAGCTTCAGACGGTGGGTGGTGGCCAGCTCAGCTGACCCTCCTGCTTTATCCCACTTTCCTTCTGCACCATCAGCACTACATTTCTGGCTCGATCCCTAATCAGATTCTGCTAATGGAAGAAGCTTTGAGTCTTTCAGGTGGAATAAAGTCACATGAAAACAAAACAAAACTATATATATTTTTGGTTTTTTTGCCTTATTGCTTTTTTTCCAAGAAAACTACTAAATTAAATAATTTTTAAAAAGTCCCATTGTTTGTCTGATTCGCTTCTGCTGCTCCTGGGGTTGGGGGAGGTCAGGGCTGGCCCAAAGGTCATTTGTCCTGTTTGGGAGTCTGGAAGCCCTGTTCTCGGTGGGAAATTGAAAAATAGAGGTAGACCTGAAAGAATGGGGCACAGGTTTCCTGAGCTCTTAACTGTTAGACACCCTTCTGGAGGGCCAAAGAGCGGAAGCATAGTGCCTAAGGCATTTGACTGCTAACCAGAAGGCTGGTGGTTCAAACCCACCAGCCACTCCTCGGAAGGAAGATTGGGGAATCTACTTCCATAGGGATACCACCTCGGAAACCCAAGGAGGGGTCACTGAGTTGGATCCGAGTCGACAACAGTGAGTTGTTGGGAATGTAGTTAGGGTCCCTGGGTGGCACAGACAGTTTGTGCTTGACAGCTGACCTATAGGTTGGTGGTTTGAAGGCATCCAGTAGTGCTGCGGAAGGAAGTCCCGGCCAGCTCTCCATAAAGATTACTGCCTTCAAAACCCTGTGGAGAAGTTCTCCATAACACATGGAGCTGGGGTTGCCAGAACTCCGAATGGACGCCACAGCCTCGGGTTTGGTGCTCGTTAATGTGAGGTGTACATTTTGGGAGTGCACCTGAGGGAAGTTCAGCCTCCAGGCTCCTGGATTTCTCAAGGCCCCAGTGTTCACAAAGATGAGCTGTGTTGTTGGGGGTTATTTTCCTAGCCTGGTTCTTGGGAAGGCCACTTACCTGCTCAAGTGTCTGCCTCATTCTTGTTGCACTAGGTGGTAAGTTCTAGCAGTTTGTTCTGGCAAGTTAAAAACCACTGCCATAGACCCTTGATGCTGTGAGAGGGGCATTCTGCAATCTTGACTACCACTCGGCACTTAATTTACTCCGTTAGGGGCAGTCAAATGTAACTGAAACCAACAATTCTCAAGTCCATTGAGGGGCCATTGTGACAAGGAGCTCTGGTGATGCAGTGCCCAAGGCATTTGACTGCTAACTGGAAGGTTAGTGGTTCAGACTCAACAGCCCCTCTGCAGGGGGAAGGTGAGGCAATCTCATTCTGTGAAGAGTTACAGCCTTGGAGACCCAATGGGGGTCGCTATGAGTTGGAATTGATGGTAGTAGGTTTGGG